GGAAAGAGAGAGTATTCAAAATGATGAACAGGGAGCATATCTTGTGGACAAATTTTAAATTCTTTTAAAATGGTCTGATTAGATGATGTTGAAACTTAAAAATCCAAGAGCCTTGCAATCTAAACAAAGACAGCTAATTACAATAATTTAATGCTCTGGAAATATGAGCAGCATTTTCTATCTTGTTCCCTAGCGAACTGAATGAATGAATGAATGAATGTGAAGAGCGCCGCGGGAAGCGGGCGAGAAAGCCGAGAATAGATAAATGTGCATCCATTCGTTGAAAACTGGGGGCGGCGGATCACATGCGTTGCCCGCCCCTGCTGTGATTCATTAAGCTACCAATAATAAAATACTAAATACAGATTCAACTTCCGGATCCATAGGTTATAGATAACGTTTTCACTTCTCAGTTCTCACGCAATTCATCCAACCTTTCCCCCCATATTATCTATACGCCCTCTACATTTAGTATGTACATACCAATCCCCTATAAGCAAAAAATTAAGAGTAAAGTATTCTGATTTCTCGTCTATTCTACCTTAATTACATAAATATTCCTTTTATTTTTTAAACTTATATGAACTTCCTCTAATACGACTATTTATAAAATACAAGCATCTACTCTATTGTTAATATTTTATTTTCATTCATCCAACCATTAATTAATTGTTAAATAACATACAAAATACCATCTTCAAATATATGTTGTTTTAAAATCATTTAAATTACCCAAAAAAATTAATGTATATTTTTCTACTTTTTCATTTATATTTTAAATTTTTTATTATGAAAAGTATTTATTTAGGAATAATTTTTAAAATATTAAATGCAAAAAGATGGATAAAATAATATTCAAACATAGTTTCAAAAAATTTAAGAAATATTTTCATAAAAAATTATGAAATGAGAATTTAATATAATAAATTACTCAATATAATTTATATGTTTATTTAAATATTGACAATCTTAATTATTTAAAGTATTTTTAAGGGATAATGGAATTTTTAATCTCTCACATTTTTCTCAATTATCCATTTGGTCCCTTAAATTTAAACTATGCCAATTTGATCTCACATGTTTTCTTAAATTATTATTATGTGAGTCTTTAAGTTTTAAAATACAAATTGATTATTAAAATAAACTAACGTGTAATGCATATTGATGATTTAAATGAGAATAAATCAACCATCAAATGTGTTTAATCTTTATCAATATAACAATGTGTTTTATTCTTTTATTTTTTTTTTAAATTTTAGATTTTTTTTCATATCTAAATAATTATACTCGTGTTCATTAATTTATATGGCTGTTATTATTATCATGTTATTCAAGTTAGCAAATTTTAATAGTGCAATGTTTTTTTAAATAATAAATACAAAATAAAAAATTAAAGTAGATTTAGAAGCTGAATTGATAAAAATTAAACTTAAATGATTAAATTAATAATTAAAATAAATTTGAGAGACTAAAGCTACATTGTCCTTTTTAAAATAAATTGGGAGAGAGGGTAGATAATTTTAAATTTGTTAACATAATTACAACTAAAAAATTAAGTATGTTAGAATCTTCAAGGGAATATGATTGGATTAAAGTATAGGTTTTGAATATAAAAAAAATCTGCAATTAAAACAGAAGGAGGTTACTGTATTTTACTCAAAAATTAACAAAACAAATCAAATTAATTAAATATGACGAGTTCTTTTCATGCGATAAATTCATCTCATTCCCCTGCTAGACGTTGCCACCGCGCGCGGCGCTGATCTGTTTTGCTTTCCATTATGTGCCACATTTTATTCCATTTCATTCATATTCAATCTTTTTTCTAATATATATATATTTTCATGTAAGTTTAATTATTATACAACAGCGATGCCAGCAATCAATTTCTTAGCAAAATAAAAAGTTGTACTTTAATGGAAGCCTGTATACTACAATTTTAGAGTGGGATGATGGACCCAGCATCTCGATGATTATTTCGATCGATAACCCAAATAATTTTATTATATTGAAGAAAATGCAAACGTGGAGATGGACTAGAACTTTCCGACTGCCTCACTATGAATAAGCTAAAAGCTTAAAAATCAGGGATGGAGCCAAGAATTATTATTAAGGGAGGCCGAAATAATAAAGTATATATAATAATTGAAAAAAAGTTATATATATATCACTGAGATAATATATAAATATTTTAATATATATATTATATTTATATTTAATTTTACACATGTATAAACAATATATATACATGCACATTAAGTTTTGCTCATTGATTTTTCATGGTATAAAAATCATTAGTTATCATATCTATGATAAATGTTTTAGTAATTTCTTTCTCAATAAATTACTATTAAATTTGTGAAAATTTTATCATGTCTATAAGCATTGAATGATTTAAGTACATTGAAATCTAAAATTTTGTTAATATAATAAATTATATTACTCACACGTTGAATTTATTATTTAATTCTTTCAATTAATGTTGTAATAAACAAATATAGCAACACATTAATAATGATCAATTATCATAAAATCTTTATGCCAGCGAGATCGAATTATATTAGAGTAAAAATTATTTATATAATAAATTTTAGTAACTTGATTATTTTAAAAAATATTTTTTTTACAAGAACATCTTCACCAAACCTCTTAACTTTTGGATAAGTAATTTTATGATAGATATCAAACACATATCATTTAGTATATCTTGAGATTTTTATTGCAATGTTTGACAAAGATTGTTAGTAATAATTCTCACAATTTCTTTCATTAAATATAAAATGAAAGTAAAATAAAATGACATCAATATTTTAAGAGTATGTATAACATTTTTGTTAAAAATAAGTAATTCTTTGACAATCATATATTTAAACTATTGAAATAGTTGGTCTAAACATACATAAAAGACTATATATAGAATTACAATGAAATTTTATTTAATATTTTATAATTTTTATAATGTGTTAATTCAGGGAAGTCAGAAATATATAATCTCTATATTTTACTAAAAAAAATTAAAAAGTTAAAGAGTTGTGGCTCTTGGTTCTCTCGCTTTGATATATACAAGTGGTTTGCCATTTTAAATGCAAATGAGATTCAGGCGGCGGCGTTGTTAAAAATAGTCGCGATCGAATGGCAACAGGAAGTGCTCATGCCTGGATTGTATTCTAGCTAATTGCTTTCGGGCGAAAACAGACGCGTCTCCAGCCAGTTATGTGGTGTGCGAGCGTGTTGTTTCTTTATCACATCTCAGCATCTCACAGCTGTGCCCGAGCAAATAAAAAGGTTGCTGCATTCAGATCTGGTGCGAACTGCAGCGACAAAAGTCCAGATTGATCAGCACTCTTTTGATTCACACCGGTCACCATCCCATTGATCAGCTGCTCTCAAAACGGAAACACGGAAAATGACACCCATAGGATTATAATTTATAACCCTTGCAGTCTAAAACGGCAAACTAAAGATGAAGAGCTCAGAAAATTAATTTAATTTATAGGATTATCAATCAATTATTTCCCATTACTAATGCGCCACTAAAGACCTGTAGTATAATTTTTAATTTTTTTTGGCAAAGAGCGCCTTGATCATAAATACTCCTATAAAATACTCCTTCCATCTCAAATTATAGAAAATTTTTGAAGGAGTTTTTTCATTTTAAATATAAAACGCTTTAAATAAATTAAGATTTCATTAAATGTATTAATTCTAGTATTATCTTTTTTTTATAATCAAGACGCTTTAAATAAATTAAGGTTTCATTAAATGTATCAATTCTAGTATTATTTTTTCTTTTTTTATAATTAATTTTCATTCTTTTTTTTAATGTATTAAATAATAGGTATTTTAAAAAATTTATATTTTTTATTTTAAAAATATAAGGTTGTTAAGTATATTTAATAAAATTTATTAATATATAAAAATTTTATTTAAAAATATTTTATAATTTAAATGAAGGGAGTAATTAAAAAGCGGCTAATTAAGCCCACAGTTTACAGCCACGCGTGGCAGCAACAGAAGGGAAATTGTAGGATGAAATGCTAGCAATTGAGAATGGGATGGGGAAGCAAAACGGTAAAAGAGGTAGGGTCAAACACCATAATGCTGGGGAAGCAATGGCCAGCTCCCACACACGCCATCAATTCTCGGGGGTAGAACCAAGGGGAGCATTAATAATTAAAAAGCGGCTAATTAAGCCACAGTTTACAGCCACGCGTGGCAGTAAACAGAAGGGAAATTGTAGGATGAAATGCTAGCAATTGAGAATGGGATGGGGAAGCAAAACGGTAAAAGAGGTAGGGTCAAACACCATAATGCTGGGGAAGCAATGGCCAGCTCCCAACACACGCCATCAATTCTCGGGGGTAGAACCAAGGGGAGCATTAATGGTGGAGGCCGAGAAATGCGTGAAGAGAACATCAGAATGCATGAGAGTCATCAGAAGCTGTCGCTCCCTGCCATGCATTAAAGCTATTCACGTCTCCCTTCACACTCCCTCTGATCTTATTTTATAAATTATTTTTAATATTTTTATTAAAATTAAAAAAATTAAACCTCATTAATTTTGTACTAAAATTTAATAAATTTTTAATTTTTTTCTATTAAATATTTATTTTAAAATAAAATATTCTAATATTTAATGATATTTTTAATGTTAGACAAAAATAAAAGAGTAAAAATAAATATAATAATTATTAAAATGTTTTATAAATAAAATTAAAATAATTTTTTTTTATATTTTATAAATAAGATAAGAGGAGTAACATATTTAACTCTCCAAAGTGCAAGTCAAAAGCCTACCAATTCAAGGCTTTAATTGCACTCCCCAACTTGCAACTTAAACAAAGTCAGACTCTAAGCTTGTCTCCTCCTTCCCAAACTTTGGAAAAGGTCCTTATTATTATATCCAACTCTCCTCCCTTTCTCTCTGATCTCAATTTCCGTGTGTTGACTTCATCGTTTGTCACTCCAATTCCTATTAAAAACCGTATCCCTTCCCGCTTCTTTCACAACATTAATGTCCCCTTCATCCCCTTTCCAAATTTCACTTCTCTCTCAACCACCCCACCACTTTCCGGTCTCTTCTTCCTCCTCCAAAAATGGATGAAATCGATGTTCCTTCCCATTTCCTCTGCCCCATTTCCCTGCAGCTCATGACGGACCCCGTCACGGTACGCACCGGAATCACTTACGATAGAGAAAACATTGAACGATGGCTGTTCTCGTGCAACAACAGAACCTGCCCTGTCACGAAGCAGTCCATCTTAGATATGGATCTCACGCCGAACCACACGCTTCGACGTTTGATCCAGGCTTGGTGCACCCTCAATGCCTCGTCCGGGATCGAGCGTATTCCGACTCCCAAGCCTCCCGTTGATAAAATCCGGATCGTCGAACTCCTCTCCGAAGCGAGCCGGTCCCCGCGCAGCCATCTCAAATGCCTTGGAATGCTTCGATCCATTGCTTTCGAAAGCGACAGGAACAAGATTTATCTGGAGTCTGCAGGGGCGATAGAATTCTTGGCTTCGACCTTGAAGTTTAGTAGTGGACACGCCCGAGTGGACGACGACAATGAACGCAGCGTCATGAGCATTGAAGCGGCACTCGAGGTTCTGTTCCATCTAAATCCTTCAGAATCTCACTTTAAAAATCTGGTCAGCAGCGAGGGAATTCAATTCATCCAGTCCTTGATCCGAATCTTGGGGAATGGGAACTACCAATCCCGAGCTTACTCGACAATACTATTAAAATCAGCGTTTGGAGTGGCGGATCCAACCCAATTGATGAATGTGAGAACAGAATTGTTCGCGGAACTCGTGAGAGTGTTGCGAGATAAGATTTCACAGCAAGCTTCAAAGGCAGCGCTGAAGCTAGTAGTGGAGCTGTGTCCGTGGGGGAAGAACAGAATCAAAGCGGTGGAAGGCGGCGTGGGTCTGGTGCTGATAGAGATGCTTCTAGAAGCAACGGAGAGGAGAGCGTGCGAGCTGATTCTCGTAGCGTTGGATCAGCTGTGCGGATGTGCGGAAGGAAGAGCAGAGTTGTTGAAGCACGGTGCAGGGGTGGCGATCGTGTCGAAAAAGATTCTAAGAGTATCACAAGTGGCAACTGATAGAGGGGTGAAGATATTGAGCTGGATCTGTAGGCATTCGGCCAACGCGAGGGTGCTTCAGGAAATGTTGCAGGTGGGCGCAGTGTGTAAGCTGTGTTTGGTGCTTCAAGTGGAGGCGAGCTTGAAGACGAAGGAGAGGGCCAAGGAGGTTCTGAAATTGCACTCCAACACTTGGAGGAATTCCGCCTGTATTCCTGCTCCTTTGCTCCAATCCTATCCTTCCTCTGATTCACTAGACAAGTAGCCATGGGCATCTTCTTTTTCTTTCTTTTATTTTTTTGCCTTTTGTATACGTGATACTTGGTCAGATTATAATAATTACCGTGGTGCCAGATAAGACATTTTTACACAACTTATTTTCGGAGTTGCGTACTCGCGAACGAACCTCAAAATCGATTTTTTTTTTTTTTTATGTTATTGATGTCGTTATTTGAGCTATCAGGTTATCAAAAAAAAAAAAAACATCGGGGCGATTAATAAACACTACAACAGCTATATATGCATAAGAATGTATGTAAAGTGTAAGAACAAAGACGTGCCCAGTTTGTGAATATCAGAGAAAGACGAAGGAAGAAAACCGGACGCCTTTCAAAAGCCTTCAAAGTAAAATTATAGCAGTGAATAATTAATTCTAGTATTTTTATTTTCTTGGCTACCCTTGAGGTTATATACAAAGGAAACGTTGGGGATCGCGGGTACCTGGCTTTGAAAAGAAAACATTTGTTATTATACGTCTATATAACTAACTAGAGCAATTGAATATTTGACTAATATATATATATATATATATATATATATATATATATATATATAAAATCTGTGTGTTGATATGCCCCTGAGAGAAGCATGATCCTGAAAGTAAGGATCTAACCCGGTCTACTCGTATTCGCCATGAAAGGCATTCTTTAACACGTTGGGGAGTATTAAACATTGTTTGAACTTTGAACTAATTATTCATGAGAGAACGTGGATTTGAATTTTATGATTGTATTTAACTCAAACACTGAGTATTTGTACTGTTTAAGTCATTAAAATTTAAATTAATAGTTTTAAATTTATATTCTACTAGAATTAATGAATGAGTAAATTTATCAAAATTATTAAAATAGGTTTTAATGGCTTAGATGATATAGTTACTTAATATCTGTATTAAATACAGTCACTAAATTCAAATTTAAAAGTACGTGCCTTTTATGGTTGCAGTAATTTAGTGACATGTGCATTAATTATTGCACCTTTGATTATTTCACTGCTGAATATATAGAACTGACCAGAACCAGCCAGAGGCAGCGTCGTGAGAGACTGAAAGGAGCGAAATGCCCGTGAAGGAATTAAAAACAGCCCTTCAATTTGTTGTATTAAACTTTTAAGTTTTAACAGATCTCTCCGATGTTTATAGCTCCATCTTTACAATATGTAAATAATATACTCGTGAGAGTCTCATGCAGCTACATTGATTTCCCTGAGTTCCAGATTAAACTATACTCCTTCATCTAGGCCACATAGTATATATCATTGATAATTAATTCACGTTATGTTAGTTCAAATTTTATTTTCTTAAAAATGTTTATATCTTTACAATTAATACTCTTAAATTTTCCTAGTAACACATATATGTTTTTAAAATATGGAGCATTTAAATATAAGAAATAAAAAAAGTAAGGGTATAAATAGTAAAAAACATAAAATTTATCCAATATCTTATATTTTGATTCAAGGTGTGTTGTTTGAAAGTGAATTATATTGTGATCCAGAGAAGGGAGTATATTATTTGTACATGGTTTGTGAAAAATATAGTTTACCACCCCAATAACGTGCTCGCGCGCGCTTTTTTTCCACACCAAAGGAGACATTTTGTTAGAAGGTAATGGGGGCAACATTAACCCAATATACCGATACTAACTAAATTCACCAAAAGCTCAAAGGAACCTGGCCATCGGTTCATATAAAATCAATTAGTTAATTAAGAATTTCTCGCGTTTTCGGGGACTCTTGACAAAATAAACTGACAAGACGTGGATTCATTAAAAGCCTTTAGATTACTTGAACAAACAGTAACACCGTTTCTAATTCATTGAACAGAATTATTTGAATGCAGGAACATCTGGTTGACGCAATCCGATATTGTGAGGATGAGATAACTAAGTATATGGAGATGCATGAAGAGTTGACTTTGGAATGTAATAAATGGCATTTTGATTAAATCAACAGAAATAACTGTGATTCAAACCAGAGAAGCGCGTTATTTGTGTGGTATTCTACGAGGGAGCAACGTGCTTTAATTATTCAACACATCACCCCCTCCGCAGAGAAAGCAAGAGTCTTGAATGTGGCCCAAATTTGATTGGCGGCTAGTTGGGCCCCAGTTCGACACTATCGCTTATATTTTGGGAAAATAACACTGAGGACCACCAAAGGTATTTTATACTCAAGAAGGACCTGAAATTTTGATTTTTCACGCCACCCCTTGTCCTTGACCTGAAAATATTTTTTTATAAAAAATAAATTAATTGCCCCTCTCAATCAAAGAGAAACAACTTAACAAGAATTGGTTGTTAACATTTAAATATGTTGTTATCAATCATGAATTTATTATTATCAAAATTGTTCCATTAAACATATACCACTAGCTTTTCAATTTTATCAATATTCAAATGTATTATTATTAATTACAAATTTGTTATTATCAAAACTTAAATTACTTATTGTTTATACAAAATGAATATTTGTTTAATTAAACTTGCACAATCATCAGTTTTTTAATAGTGTTAAATTTTAAATGTATTATTATTAATTACAAATTGGCTATTATTAAAACTTGAATAGCTTGTTGTTTATGCAAAGTAAACACTAATTTTATTAAACTTATGTTATATTTTAAATGTATTATTATTAATCACGAATTGATGGTTGTCAAAACCTAAATGATTTATTGTTTATACAATATTTGTTATTTTAAGCTTCAGAGATAATTTGGTTATTTCTCATAAAAATTATTTTCAGCCAAAAACCAAAGGGGTGCAAGGAAAAATTAGAAATTTAAGATCCTTTTTTGATATAAAATACCTTGGATGGTCATTTGGTGATATTTTCCCTTTAGGCTCATGCAGGTTGGTTCGTTTAACAAAATGAATTAACATTGCGCGACATTATTATTTTTTGAATACATTATATTAGACATTTTTTTTTTTACCAAAGAATACATTATATTAGACATTTATTGATTAAGTTTCGGGGGGGCCCCGGGGGTGGTGGTTGTAGGTGGCCGGAGGATGGATGGTAATCAACGTTCAAATGTTCGTGATCCAAATAAAAAATATATATACAAGAGTTTCTGTTGGGGGAATTTATGTAGAAAAGTTAGCTGGCAAAGAAATTAACATTATAAATTATTTATAAATTATAGATAGTGTATCTTATCTCAAAGTCTCAGACTTTAAATAAAACACTGATCCATGATCTAGGACTAGTTTGGTTTGTTATCTATTTTTTATGTTTTTAAAACAACTATGTAAAATAGCTTTTCAAATGAGTTTTGGAAACAAAAAAGGGAAAAAATTTTGTTTAAATGATATTTTGAAAAACATATATAACTTGGTCAAATGAAATGTGAAAGAATAATTTATTTTACTAATATAATTGTCAAAAATAAAAGCATGATATTTTCTATTTTTTCTCTAGTTTTGTAGAATAAAAGTAACAAAACATTTAAAAGATATTTTGGTGTTTTTAATTGTTTTCATAACAACTTTAATTTTTTTTTTAATTTTTCAGAATAGGTCATAGAAAAACACATTTTCAAACAATCTTTTTTCTTTTTTTTTCTCTTTTTCAAGGATAAAAACTGTACTGAAAACAACAGGTTGCTGATATCTTTAGTTCTTTACCATATATACATGGGAGTGATGATCATCAATGATCTCTATCACTATCTGTACATGAAAAATTAAAGGACGGTGAAGATCAGGGAGGGAGTGGGTTTGATCCAGGAATTAATGATCCATTCGTCCTACAAGTCGGCGGTGACTGCCGAAACAACCGGATTAATCTCTTCTAAAAGTCATCAGAGACTAATTATGCGATGATCATTTCAAATTAAGGAGTAAGGACAAATAAGAACAGACAATTATTGTTGTTCTATTATTTTCAGTTTACCACTTATTTGGTCCCATCCATGTGTATATTTCTTCTTACATATAACACATGACAGGCTTTGTATGACTATTTCAATTAAAATAGTCAAACTCAAACATAATTAAAAGGTAGGTACAAAGGCAAGACAAATATTTTTAAACTTGCTGATGATAGCCCGATAAGATTTAACAGGACAGAGTGTATGAATTCTAGTTTTTACTTTCGTTGAATAAATCATAATTTAGCGTATACAATTAAGTTTTATCCCCTTTCTAATTACTTTTACAATCTACTACTTGAATTTTTTTTTTGATGGAATAATACTTAAATTTTCTATAAATTAGATTTTACTTAAAAGAATCCTGAGACTTATTTTTCCCCCTATTGAATGCATGTAATGCAGACGAGATCAAATTTTCTTTACCCGCAATATAAATAAAATCCATGTGATATTTAAAAATTCAAATTTAAATCTAAACTGGAGATTTTCCAGTCGGAAGAGACTTGGATAAAAGGAAAAGGCTTGAGGAATCCATGAAATGAAGATGAGACAGGAACTATGCATTCAATGGGGGAAAATATGAAAAAATAATAATTTTTTTAATTTAAAGTTTATTAATAAAGAGGTCCTCAGTGGATGTCAGAGGAATTATGACATTTTGAGGGATTGAATTATCATTTATATAATTCAAAGAATTTTTATTGTCATTTTTTCAAAAAACAAATTGATTTTTAAGGCATGATTATATATTATTTAATATAAAAAAATTAGGAGTAAAAAATAATTAAATGCATTGGTATTATTATAGAAATATTTACTTATAGCTTATTATATTGAAATTTAATTATTTTTCTTGATTCTTGATATTATATACGCACAGTACGGCTCTTTATTAATTTTTTTTAACATATTTCGCAGAGTTATAATTTTAACCTTTTTCGATATTAAGATCACATGCGGAATATATTGTTATCTTTTTCTTTTAATTATAAACTTTTTTGGCGAGTATACCTTACAGGTCCTTTTCTTTTAATCATAACTTATTATACTACTGGTTTTCAGAATTATAGTGGCACTGATTAAAATATATATTTTAAAGGGGAAATCACGTCTTTAAGACTTTAAACCTCCTAACAAAATTATTTGTTATTAAAATGGTAATGGCAATTTTTTTTTTAATAAATGGTGACTTGTTGTTAAGTTTTATCTATGAATAATTTTTTTAAAAG